CCTTGGGAGTATTACTAGCAGGAAGAGTCAACTGCCAGCATGTGAAGAATAACGTGCCAAGGCTCAAATTATCCTATAAAGGTAAGTCTGTTGTTCTCTCTTATTCTCGGTTTTGCTCAAAACCTCTCCTCCTTGCCCCGTCGCTCCCCTCTCCCCCCACCTTCCTCCCTGGTTTGCCTTAGCTTCCAAAGGGGAGATTGGCATTAGGAGAAATTTCTGAAAAAAATAAAAAAAAATTTTTAAAAAAAAATTAAAAAAAAATTAAAAAAATACTTAAAAAGCCACTCCGGGGTACGATCGGTACCACGCAGTTTAAACACAGACAAAGAAGAGTTAGTTGCATTTGCAGACAAGGACTCCGGATCGTGCCGGTCCATGGAAGAGTATTTTTCAGTCTTGTGCTATTTCATCGGACTTTACTCTTTAAAACGATGAGACGTGTTTGGCCACCCAGCTAATCTCTCCCGTGCTGGGCACGTAGTGCAGCCACAATACCAGATCTGTTTCAATCAGCACGGAATAGATGAAGATTTATATTTTCCTTTTTTAGGCATGAAGTGGTTAATTTTCAAGTCATGAATATTCAGTTTGTACAAATCTGACAATCAGATGCCTAACATAAGCAGTAGATGGTGGGTTTGCCAAGAAACTATAAACTGAAAGGAACAGATCAGTCCAGAAAGGGAGGAAAGGACTGTTATGCGCTGGAAAATACTGCCTATGGATGTTTAAACGCAGTGCGATTTGTTTGAACTGAGATTGTTTTCGGTGTAGTCTGATGTATTTCATTCATTCCCAGGGAAGGTGTAAGTGAAGAGAGCGAGCTGTGAGATTACGTTTACATTTGAAATTGTGTAATGCCACTCACATTGCAATTCTCAGTAATTAACTTTTGTATAATACTGCCAGTATTAGAGGAGGACTCTGAACTAGGCAGAGTCTTTTCTTTATCAGCATAGTTCCTCTCTCAGTACGTTTTCAGAAGAATTCGCCAAATCTGGAGAATGCGCAACTGGGAGAGAAGTTTAAAATGTAAGAGCTGTAGAGTATTATTTCTAAAAGGGAGGTCTGTACATCTATATGTAGATATACACGTCTCTCTGAAGAGCTGCCTTCTCAAAATTCTCAGATTATTGAAGGTTGAGAGAAGGAGCAGCAGCTACGATTCTGAAAGAAGGGAGGAAAAGTAACACGCTGCTTCTGCGGTGAAAAAAAAAAAAAAAGAGAACATGTGTGTGCATGCCTGGTCATAGATGTCAATCTCAGTTTACAGCATAGTGTCAATACATCTCTTGCCAGTAGAAATATATTTTCCAATTTTTTTCATCTTTCTCATGCTGCAAAAGAGAAGGGAAAAGTCCTCTCTGATACAAGGCAGATGTCATTTTCACACTCCAGATGAAAAAAAAAATAAATTAAACACCTGCAAAACTTGGATGCACCGTATGAAATAAATGCATGTACAGGGGTTTATTAAAGAACGCATATATGCATATTTGTGTGTGTTTAAACTTGAAAAGGTAAGTGTGAAAAGAACAGTGTAAGAGGTTCAGAATCTGTTAATTTGGTTTTCATAAGAAAAAATATTTGTATTTTACACAAAATTGATTATTTTGAATAATGTAATCTGAAGAAAGCTTCTACCATAAAGACATGTCATGTCAAAAAACTCATTAAAAACCTCTTAATTGCTTCCAAACTTTCAGAATCATGCTGAAACTCAGATTAGTATACAGAAGCATAAATGCTATAAAAATATCCTGTAAAGGGGTTTAACGGCTAATTAATTATTGTTTATTATTTTTCACCTTTTTAAAGTTTATTGATGGCTCAAGCCTGCTACCCCTGCTCATACTGATTAAATTCACGGAAACTAATTTCAAGGGATGGCCAGATCTGGACGATAGTAGTTTTCTTTTTCCTTTTTTCTTTCTTTTTCTTTTTTTTTTTTTTTCTTTTTTTCACGCTGCTGGTGCTGTATCTAGATACAGTTTAGCAACATTTTGATACTCTGCTGATTGGTTGTTTTCCAGTTCTGCTCTTGCTGGGAGAAAAGATCTCATTTTCATTTTTTAAATACATCAGACATCAGATTTTAATCCTACAGGAGCAAAACAGGAAACCGAAAGGAACATTGAAACTGTTTTTATAATTGGCGGATCATTGTAAAAAGAAAATGAGTTCAAATGCTGAGCAACTCTATTTCCTATCTAGCAAAGAAAGTAAATGCATAGTTAATTCAAAGCAAGTTTAAGTCTGAAGACTTACAGGAATTCACACGCTGGCCTTTGATTCATATGTATACTTAATCACATATTTGACTTAAAACATGTGTAACCCTAAAAATCAGATCAGACTACTCACATGCCTAATGTTAAGTACCAGTGTAAATGCTTGGCCAGGTCAAGAGGAGCGTGTTGCCTGTGCTCCTCCATTGATCCCTAAGGATGGGGAGATCATTATTAGTCAGGGAAAACTAAGCATTATCAGCTGGTGCTTTTCCAGACAAATTTTGCTTCCAGCACCGTATTCTATGCACAGATCAACGTTAACACCTTGCATAGGAACAGCCTTAAGAGCTGTAGGTATTGAAAATATGTCTTTTTAGGCACAGGCTGAATACCTTATATGCTAATCTGTATCTCTCAGAGTATTCCTCACCACTATATGACTATGTGGTACTACGTTATTCATCTCTATTCAAACTGCTTGCAATTAGGAAAAGAAGCTACCCAGTTACTTAGCCATTCTGCCTCTCCATGAAGAGCTGTGGTTGAGTATAATAAACTTATGATATTGAAAAAAAAAAAAAAAAAGCATGCAAGTCGAAAAGAATGACCTAAGTGATTTCTCTTTCAGTGGCTCTAGTACTTTCTTTTAACATGCATGCTTGTTTTTTTTGCCTAAACAAATACCTTGGAGCTAATTGTTGGTGCTTTATTTCAAAAGAAAAGCAAGGATGTATTTTAACTTCTTGTTTTTCTCGACTAATTAGATGTCAAACATGGTTAAAAAGCTCAGGCATTTGCTTTAAAAGTTAGCAAAACGAGTCATGAAGGGTTAAATCCCTGCCAACTTTGATTTCCTATGGTCACTTGCTTTCAAAGGTCCAGTATTAGCTCTGCCATTTCCCAGGTTGCTGGACAGAAGTTTCAGTGAACTCCTATTCTTGCTTCCTCTTAACTTCTTGTCACTCAGTCTTGCGGAAGATTAGAAGCATCCTATGGGGCACGTTATGGATAGGGAGAGGAAGGGAAAGTGTATAAATGCATATATTAAGGCCACATCTGTGGTCTGAAAAGGTTCTTTCTGTTTCTTGTAAAATGGAGTTCTGGTTATTTGGTTTATATCACCTTGATTTTGGTGGCATATTAAAGAAATTTGATGAGAACACTAGGGAAATCCTCGTCCAGCTGAAATCTGTGGGGAAACTCCCATTCAGTAGCATCAGGTTTTTTGCTCTGTACATTTTAAAGTTTTGAAGCATTTTCATCTTAGTGCCTGGATCGGAAAAGTTTTGCACAGATGATATTTATCTCCTTATTTTAGTCAAAGGGAATTAATATGATTAAAGGCCTGATCCAAAGTTCATTGAAGTCACTAAGTTCTGGATCATAGCCTAAATGCGGTAAAACCAGCTATAAAACTGAAAGCTCGGTTGAGCCTTTCAACCTCTGAGCTCCTCTTTTTGTGTCCTTCAAAGACTTTGTGTCCTTATTTTAAAGTAACAAGAAATGTCATTGTTGATATGTCAAAAGTAAAGGAATCTTTCCTTAAAGAATATAGAGGGTTTTGTTGGTGGTGGGTTTTTTCATTTGTTTGTTTGGGTTTTTTTAATCTCCTTGGCTTCAGTTTCAGTGTCGGTTGTAAGTCTCTATATCACTAGGTCACGTTCTGTTCAGGAAACTTCTCTTGAGCACAGAGTTCTCAGAAATATGGTGATCAAATTGAGTGTGCAAAGTTTAAAACAATAAATATAGTCTTAACTCCAGATGGATTTCTTGTATCGTTTATTGTTTCCTATTTTCTTTTGCTGTCCTCTGTATGGGGAGGTAACAGCACAAACAGAGATGGAACCAGCTACAGTAACCTTTAAATATAAACGTATACGACCAGAGAAAGAGAGAGTTTCCATTAAAGGTTCCTTGATTTACAGATTTTTCCTAAGGCAACCCCAGTTTTGTTCTCCACATGAGTAAATCTTGTGAACCCAACTTTCTCAAATCCATCTGTCGCGTCCTATTTGTCTAGTGAAAATTACTAAATGCTGTAAGTATGTTTTGTAAGAGTACATGTGTGGTTCTCCTTTGTTATTGTTGCTCAATTGGATACATATTACTTGAGAATAAGTAACTGGAAAAGCATTGCACACAGATTTAGCTCTTATTACTCCCTGGCTCCAATTCAAGCCATATTAAAAATAAGTGTTTTCTTTAAAGTTGCAGTGATAGTGAGAACTGCTCCATCCTTTATGTGCAGCTGATTTACAGTTTGATAGGATGGATTTTTATACGGATGAAATGCTGGCCCTAGCGAAAGCAATGGCAAAACTTCTGTCCGTTGCAATCAGTCCAACATGCCATGAGGAGGGAGGAATGACATTGCACTGAATTACCTATACGTGCGTAGCATAAATATGATACCCGGGTTGTAGTTTGTTGACCCAGTCTGGTTGTAGTTGATGGCCTGCCTGTGGGTTTGATTGTGGTTTTTCCTTTCCATCAAACTCTATAACTCACAATTCAATACCTCCACAAATATTGGGAAAGCAGGAAAAAAGTTGGAGAAGGAAATGGGGAGACAAATATTGGCAAGGGAGCCTGTCTCTCTTGAGTTGGGACCCATATTAGTTTGTCTCAGATTTCAAGGTATCTGCTTAAAAAAACTTTTGCTTGAACTGTGTTGTAAGAGTACTGTCTGAGGGAAAAGCCTCTCTAACGTGCCTGAAAAGGAGAGAAGGGCAGCCCGGACTTAGGAAGAAGACCGTGAAGGAAGGCAAACCTGTGATGGTTGCAGTCTAGGCATGGGCTTGCAACACTCTTCAGCTTCCACCGTTCCTGATGACGTTTCTGCACGGCTCC